ATTCCTAAGCTTATAGAAGAGATAACTTGCAAAGTGATTTTTGATACTAACGGAGTTGTCTTTCAGGATATTGAGACAAATTCAATTATCGGAAAAGGGATTAAGCAGCAAAATCTTTACTATCTCCAAGCTTCCCCACCGATTACTCATTCTGCTTTTCACTCTCTTTGGCACGCACGTCTTGGACATCCTCATCAACACGTTTTAAATTTACTTGTTCCAAAGACAAAGACTGATTCTTTAGTTTGCGAAGCTTGTATGCTTGGCAAACATTGTCGTTCGGTTTTTCCTATTTCTACCACTATTTATGAGAACATCTTTGATTTAGTGCATTCGGATGTTTGGACTGCTCCTTTCTCTCGTGATGGATACAAATATCTTGTTACGTTTATTGATGAAAAATCCAAACACACTTGGATTACTCTTCTTAAACGTAAGAGTGATGTTTTTGATGCATTTAAAAATTTTCATGCTTATGTTTTTACCCAATTTGGGGTTCATATTAAATGTCTAAGAACAGATAACGGGGGTGAGTATCTAAGTAACCAGTTTCGCGACTTTACTCTTCGGCATGGAATTCTTCATCAACGTTCGTGTCCACACACGCCACAACAAAACGGAGTTGCCGAACGTAAAAATCGGCATCTCATGGAGGTTGCTCGCACGTTGCTCTTTCATCGCAATGTGTCCAAACATTTTTGGAGTGATGCGGTGAAATTGGCGTGTTACCTCATTAACCGTCTCCCTACTCAAGTGCTTCGGGATAAATCTCCCCATGAGGTAATTTATAACAAACGCGGTTCCATTGATCACCTAAGAATTTTTGGTTGTGTTTGTTATGTTAAAGTTTCAGATGAAGAACGCAACAAACTCGCTCCTAAAAGCTTACGGTGCATCTTCCTTGGTTACCCTACGGATCAAAAGGGATTCTTATGTTTTCATCCGAGTACCAATCGTTTGTACACCTCTCGGGATGTTGTATTTGTGGAACAACTGAGTTTCTATGTCAAGAAGGATTGGCCGAGTTTAGAAGAACTGGTTGTTCAAGGCACCGATGCTCCCACCAACGTTGACCAATACATTGCTACTATTCAACAAACAGGAAATGAAGTCATGCCACCTGTCTCTTCTATTTCTTCTTCACTGCCTCAAGACCATCATGCCGACTTGCCAGAACAGGGTACCCCTGAACCTCATCTTGTTATTTTTCCAGCTGATACTCCTTCTACAGATACAGGTACCTCTGGGCAAGCTTCTTCTAGATCAGACTCGGTTGCCCCTCTTCCCATGGCGGTCGACGAACTCGTCGAGTCGTCTCCACCATCGGACTCTCTGCTTCAGGGGGAACTTACTCTTCCTCCTGATTCCAGATCTGATCAAATCGCAGTAGTTCCTCCATTGGTTATACCTTTCGACTCTTCTCTGCATGACGAACAAGTTCTTCGCCGAAGTTCGAGGGAGCGTTGACCCACTTGGAAGCTGCGTGAAAAATCCAATCAGGTTATCAGTGTTTTTCCCTCGACTCGTGCTTCCTCTCTCTCTCTAACCTCTGCAGGTGCTCCGCCGTGCCTTCTCTCTCCGGAATCCACTCGCTCCTCTTTCTCCCAGCCTGTCGACCTTGTCAATTCTGTTGTCGTGTCCAACCCTTCGTCCTCCCAGCACTGTGGCACTGATTCCATCTTCTCTTCTGATGGGTGCTTGGTTACTTCAATTTCACCACAAATCTCTTCTGTCAAACATCCCATTGCTTTGTTTTCTAACTTAGAAGATTATTCACCCACTGATCAATGTTTTCTGAGTATGATGGAACAGGGATTCGAACCTCAAACTTATGCTCAGGCTCGGCAACTTCCTGTCTGGCAAGCCGCAATGGACGAAGAGCTCGGTGCACTCGAACGCAATGAAACATGGGAGTTGACGGAACTTCCTGCTCATCGCAAAGCACTTGGATGCAAGTGGGTTTATAAAATTAAGTATCGCAGTGACGGGACAATCGAACGTCACAAGGCCTGTCTGGTCGCTCAAGGATTTACTCAAACTTACGGGGAAGACTACAATGATACTTTTGCTCCAGTTGCTAAACTTCCTACTGTCCGTGTTGTTCTTTCTCTTGCCGCTAACCTTTCTTGGTCTCTTTGCCAGATGGTCGTCAAAAACGCTTTTCTTCAGGGCGATTTGATGGAAGAAATTTTCATGAAAATTCCACCGGGCTAACTACTGTCACTTCACCTAGTCAAGTGTGTCGCCTCAAGAAATCCATCTACGGCCTGAAGCAGTCACCTCGAGCATGGTATACGAAGCTTCATGACGCGCTCATAGCTCGGGGCTTCTCGCGTAGTCATTCCGATCATTCCTTGTTCACTCTTCACAGCGAATCTGGTATAATCGTTCTTTTAGTTTATGTCGATGATATCATCATAACAAGGAGTGACTCTAGCGGCATTAACGATACTAAGTCTTTTACATCAAGTTTTTTATATTAAAGATCTTGATTCTCTTAAATATTTTATCGGTATTGAAGTCTGTCGTGTTTTCGATGATTTATTTTTATCACAACGCTAAGTATGTCCTCGATCTTCTTCGTGAAACAGGCAAACTTGGCGCCAAACCCGTTCGTACACCAATAGAAGAACATTTCAAAGATCAACGCGAGGGGAAATTACTGGAAAATGCTGAACAATATCGTCGCCTTGTTGGTAAACTTATATATCTTACGATTACTAGACCTGATTTAAGCTTTGCTTTGCATCAGGTTAGTCAATGGATGCACGCTCCAACTACCTCTCATTGGCAAATGGTGGATCGCATCCTCAAGTATCTAAAGGGAACTCCAAACAAAGACTATGGATGAGACGCAATAAACATACAGAGATCATAGCCTATTGTGATGCAGATTGGGCAGGAGATAGATCGGACCGAAAGTCTACCACTGGATACTGCACATTTGTCGGAGGAAACCTTGTCACGTGGAAGAGCAAGAAGCAGAACGTGGTGTCGAGATCAAGTGCAGAGGCAGAATACCGAGCAATGGCTAATACAACAAGTGAGATTGTTTGGCTTAAACAATTACTTGAAGAACTCGGGGTCAAGACATCTAAGCCTATTCCTCTTCATTGTGATAACCAAGCGGCAATGCATATCGCTGCTAACTCGGTCTTCCACGAAAGAACGAAACACATCGAGGTAGACTGTCACTTTATTCGAGAAAAGATTGTAAATGGATTAATTTCTACAGTGTTCACTCGGAGTCAAGATCAGATCGCCGATATCCTCACCAAAGCCACTAGCTCCTTTGTCCTTAATAAGATGCTCTTCAAGATTGGTCTTACCAATATTCGCCGACCAATCTTGAGGGGGAATGTTAATGGAGATGATGAGTTAGAGGCAACAGACAAGGAAGGAGACAAACCAGAATCTCAGGCGTTCAACTCTCATAACATGATAACAGAGATCAAGCAAGTTTCCTTTCCTGTATAGAACAATATTCACTTACCAATTTCTTCCTCTTCTGTAACGTTAGTATTGTAACTTTCCATTCTACACATTGATAATATTTGTAGTATATATGATGTACAGATTCATCTTACGAAAATAAGAAATACAGGGCATTCTTCTTCATCTTCCTAAAACCTCGATCCTGTCTTTGCTCGATTTCTTCGATTTGTCTTTTCTTTAGACAGTTGGACAGCACGGTGCGGACAATTTTACTCGGAGCAAAGCTGAGGAAGACATCACCGAGCAATGTACTTCTAGAGCACTGGTACTTTTTGACTGAAGATATTAGAAGGCGCTAACATAACAGACCGAAGAGAAGAGAAGGCGAATAAGAAAATGTAATCTTACCACTTGCACATGGGATTCCCTATTTAGTTTGCTCTATGGACTGGTTTTGTATATTTGGAGAACTTCACGTCATTAATACCAAATCACATTTTACCCAAAAAAAATGTTAAAATTCGTCGATACAACTAATTTCAATCGATATTGGAATCCAATAACTCAATTATCAATAAGTTTAGTTGTTTAAATTAATTCATATAAAGCTTGATAAAAAGTGGTATTACGATAAAACTGAATTGATATATGTATTTTTATTTATATAATCAATAATAATATAATAGCGTATATAAAACTTTTTATTTTTTATTTTTTTAAACCAAAATAACAAACATCTCACCACCACCACCACCACCACTATATATATATATATCTCCCCTAGGGTAACGCGTTTCCCCCAAACGCAGTCGGGGAAAAGCAGTTAATCAACTTGCAGAGCCTACGATTTGTCAACGAAGTTTTGCCGGTCGAATCAGAACCGTTGATCTGAAACAAAACTGGGCCCCACATTTTTTCCCCAGAGCCAACACTTAAACCCCAAATTCTCAGAAGCTTCAGATCTCTATCTCTCTACCCGCCTCCCTTTAAGACCAAATCTCTCTCTCTCTCTCTCTCTCTCTCTCTCTCTCTCTCTCTTTGCCACTACTTGAGCTCGTCAAGCTCCTCTCCTCACGCACTCGTCAACTCCATAGAGAGATTCACACATACGCGAAGAGGGTGGAGGGATATATATATATTATTTTCTGTATACTTATATATACACAGAGATTTTGGAGTTTTGAATCTGACCGGGAGAGGCTTCAGATCGTCAGATCGGATTCGAGATGCAGACGACGAACGGGTCAGATTCGGCCTCGGGGACGGGGGG